TGGGCCAATCAGACTACAGCTTCCCCAGCAGCCTGGCTGCATTTTTCTAGTGCTATTCTGGGAAGGGCAGGGAGGGGCCATATAGGTTGGCAGCAGCTCCACCAGTTGAGCAGTTCACTGCAGCCCTTTTAAGTGCGGAGGGGCCACTGAGGCAGCAGCCAAATGCACTCCTTTTCTTCTTCCCAATTACAAGGATATTTTAGTTGTTTGTCAGGTCACTTAGCTCTAAATAACTTTATTTTATTTATTTAATTCACAGGCTGCCTACGAAGCCTGCTTACACAACAGACTGGAAGAGCAAAGTAATCAAAACAAATCAATGCAAGCCAAAAAAAAAAAAAAGGTGTTCCACAATCACCCTCTCTCCAAGGCCCAGAAGAATAACCAGGTCTCCAATAGTTTCCTGAGCAACGTAAGGGTGTGAGCCACATGAATCCCTGGGAGAGATGATTCCAGAGGGTAGGAACTGCAACAGAGTAGGCATGCTTCCTGGGCCCTGCGAGATTATGTTCTTTAATTGATGAGGCCTGGAGTGGCCCCACCCTGCTAGGGATCAAACTAGAGACACCTAGAGATAGGCGGTCCCTCAAATAGCTAGGCTCTATGCCTTGAAGGGCCTTGTATGTGATAACCAGCACTTTGAAGCCGAGTGGTAACCGGTGCAGCTTGTGAAGCAGCCGGGCAATGAGTGAATAACACGGCACCACCATTACTTCCCACACTGCTGCATTATGGACCTGTAGAGGGCACAGAGAATAGCTTTGAAGGCCAGAAGGAAGAACTGCTACTAAGGTAATGATCAGACAAGCATGGCTTGAGCGCATTCCAAGAAACTAATTTGAGTAAATGTCTAAGACAGGCCCCTCCCTAATTCATAGAAAGATAAAGTGAAGGAGGGGGAAGCACATTCAGACTTGCAAGGTTCTGTTACTATAGCTGTTCCATAAAAGTAGTTTTAGACCTATATGGCATTGGTTTCCTAGTCTGGTCTACCTTATAGGGCTGACAGGACCAGCTGTAGCTTCCAAATGGTCTTCAGGGACAACCCCAAGTAGAGTTCATTCTAGTGATCCAACCTTGAGGTGACTAGGGCATGAAGGGTCTCCCAGTTCTGAATTCTAAAAATCATTCTCCAGTTCTTAGGAATGGAAGGTACCCTGAACCCACTGACAAGTAACGAGAAATGCAAATAAAAAACAACCCAGAGATAATACACACCCATAGTTATAGAAAAATGAACTGAGCTATTCTGTAACCAGTATTTCATAAGAATAAATTAATCTTATAAGCTATCTAAAATTTTAAAAAAGGAAAGGCAATACCACATTACAGGCTAGGATAAGAATGTCTTCTTATTTAAGACATGTCTAAACTCTGTTCATCTCATTTAAGATTTCAATCAATCCCTTACAACCTGGAAATGGCTATACCTCTAAATTAAAAAAAATTAAAAAATAGTAAAATAATAAGTAAAATAATATTAAGAGTGATGGATATTATCAAAGTAACCTAGAATATTAAATTACCAGAGGTAGGGGACATGGACAGCCAGTTTGGTGTAGTGGTTAAGTCACCAGGTTAGGAACGTGAAGACCATGAATTCTAGTCTAGACCTTAGGCACAAAGCCAGCTGGGTGACCTTGGGCCAGTCATTTCTTCTCAGCCCTTTCAGATATTGACAGCCATTTCTGAAAAATCTTGCCAAGAAAATTGCTTCAACTTGTCCAGGCAGTCACTAAAAATCAAGGGTGTTTTGAAGGCACACACACAAAAAGGTAGTGATGGGGTCGCTGGATTAGAAAAGGATCAGCAGGTCAGCAATTTACTGTATTACAAAAACATCCAATCAGGAATCCCCTTCACCTGCGGCTTGTTTTCAGTGCCTACTAATATTTAAATAAATGCTTTTTCTATCCCCCTTAGCTATCATGGCTCACCACTGATGCTGATCTTTCAAACAATTATCATCTCTTTTGAAAGCCAAATTGCAGTGAAGTCAAGTCTTCATTAAGAAAAGGATAGGATTGAAGATCATCTGAGTTTTTAAACAGATGGCATCATACTAACTTTTGAACAGATTGTACTTTTTATTTTAAAAGGTTAAGTTGTGAGTTTATATTTTAGATTCATCTTACATTTGTATATTTACCAAAAAACTGTGCATTGGATAAGCCAGTAAATTGAATATATTGTTGATATTCCATGCATGGCTATGATCTTTTCATCTCCTCCTTGAATGGCAATTCTCCAGTGCTCCCTTGTAGGTTAAAAGAGGTTACTTCCAAAAGGAAAAGAACAACCACCATACAAACAATTGTTTTCCTGGAAAGAACACCAATGCTAATTCAAACACTATGTATAAAGAGCAGGTATGAACTGTCCTATCAGACATTGTTATAAAGAGGGTTAAATTAATAATTAGTCACAAGCCAGCACAGAACAACTAAGATTAAATTCACACTAGCCTCTGAAGCTTAACTAATTCTGGATTACAGGTAGTCCTCGCTTACCAACGGTAATTGGGACCGGGAACTCTGTTGCTAAGTGACACGGTTGTAAGGTGTGATGTCATGTGTCCACGCTGACTTATGACAGCAGTTCCAGTTGCCGTTGTTAGGAGAATCCCACACAGTCGCAGCATCCCATGGTCACATGATTGCCATTTATGACCTCCTGCCAGCTTCCCCATTGACCTTGCTTGTCGGAAGCCAGCAGTGAAGGTTGCAAATATTCAGAGTCGCTTTGTGAGATGGGCAGCTATATAAATGTGATGCACAAATAAATAAATAAACAAATAAATAAATGAAGGCAATCACATGGCCGCAGGATACTGCAATGTAATTGTGAACTGGTTGCCAAGTGCATAAATCACAATCATGCAACCGCACAGCCACTGCAATGGCCGCAACTACAAGGACCCGTCGTAAGTCCCCCTTGTTCAGCACTGTCGTAACTTCGAACAGTTGCTGAATGAGTGGACATTAAACAAGGACTATCTGTATATTCTTTTTTTTTTTTTAAGTGAAGAAACATTTGCAAAACTTCCTGTTATGAGCATCCTTTTTTGATAAGAAAAGGAAAGTATTTTCTGGAAAGTTTTATTAAAGGCATATTAATATCAAAAGTTATGATACTTTTCTGGCAGAAAGGTCTCTCTATATATCTAGCTCCTGACAACACTGTAAACAGTATGGCTGTGAAATGCAAGCAGTAAGGCTGTGACATTTCTGTGTGTAATCCCCAATGCTTACAAGATAAGAATAGAATAACCCATTCACAACTGTAATCACTCTGACAACATTATCTTTCTAGTTATACCAGTCTAATTTAACAATTTTAAGAGGTGTCAGATGTTCTTATCATGGGTACATTTGGGATATAAATGGAAATGTCACAGTGCTACGGCTGTACTTTTGCATTTCATAATGTTTTGGCCCCAGTGTCTCATTCTCAGCCCATAATTGAGAATTAACTGTATTCCACAGAAGCATATGTTACAAAGATGCCACAAGAATAATAGTTGCTTTTCCTGCAACAGACTATACATAAATCATCAAAGTATCATTTTTTTCTAGTATTGCAATATTGAAGATAGTGGATCTGAACATCTCACTGTAAAGAAACAGTCTAATACACAAAATTCAAATTGGTATAATTATCAATGGATTGAAACCCAGATATTTTTAAGTCCTCACATTTCTAAGGCCCTCAAATTTCAGCAAAGAATGTAATCCAGACAGTCCTAAAGAAATCCAAGCAATGTGATGGCTACTGAGAAGACTCCAAAGCCACAAACATAACTGGCGAAACACTCTGCCAAACAGCCAGATGCTTATTCTGGATATTAGAAAGCTTGAGTTTTGGGTTCTGCATCCTAGTTGAAAACAACAAAAAAAATGTACAAGTTGCGGGTTAGCAACTGTGTGCTGCATTATTTTTTCAAGGATGTGTACTAATTTCATGTTCACTTAAAAAACTTTCAGATGGTTTCATACTGGAAGGCATTCCTTATGTATAAGTTATAAGTACAACTTAACTTAAAGATAAAGCTAAAAGCACAAAGGAGCAAAAAATTATCTGGCAATAGTTTAACGTTTGATCTTTAACAAACAGTGGGTGCCCAAAAGGCAATGCAACAGTTATTAAACTCTGCCAATGAACCTGATGTCACCACTAAAACTCTAGTATCTATAGCCTTAGAGGGGCAAGATTAGCAGTAAGAATTCAAAGAGATGGAAGGGAACACCAAACTTCTGCCAGAGATTTCATCCCAGGCCATGTTGAGAAAACCAAAATTAACTATCAGTAAATTTGGTCAGAGTTTCTAGTTAAGGTTCTTCTTAGAGATGTTATGTGGTTTGTTTATACAAGGTCAGTTAAAGCCACATTGTCAAGTTCTTGTACAAACCATGAAGCAGTTGTCCTGACTTAATAGAACAAACTGAGGAGGAACTGCATTATTATGACAAAGAAGTGCTTGCATTTACCTATAAATGTGATAAACCTGTATTAATTTTTTATTATAAGCAGACACAGATTCTGAAATGTAAGCGAGTAGTGAAGAGAGGGCCTTCACTCCGATGATTCTCCAATCCTGGGATGTTCTCCTGAAACAGACACAACTGGTGCTGATACTATATTCTTTTTGCACCAATTTCATTTTTTTTTTTTTTTAGTTTTAGTTTGGAGGTTAATGGTTATTTATTCCCCAAAAACATTTTTAAAATCCATTTTTGCAGATATGAATTCAGTATCATAGGGAAGTCTTCCATTGTTTGAAAACAGAAGTCATTGCTGAAATTACATACATTGCTCAAAGCAAAACACTAGATACATCAAAACTTGTCAGATAACACCACTTCTTGCAGTTTTCTAAAAAAAAAAGGGGGGGGGAAGACATACCTTCTCTAATCTCTTTAAAAATAAAGCAAGTAAAGAAAGTAAAATGCAATAACAAAATTTACAATACAGATTTTCTATGTCTCAGCAGGAAAAGTTACCTGCATAAAGATCCTTCTCGATAAGTTTCATCTGGAGATGGAAAATCTGTTCCTGGAGTTTGCAAATGGAGTGCTTCATTTTCTCTCGTTTTGTCACCATGTAACAAAGATTTCTAACCTGCAAAGCAGAGTAAGAGTGTCTACTTCAATAATTAATTATTTAAAAAATGATTGGTAGTTCAGTAACTAATTTATCTGTAATCTATCTGAATAGGGCACATTAATACAAGTAAGAAGATTGGATCAAATGAAGTAACTGTAGTCTACTCAACATGCTGGGCAAAGCACAATGCTATCCTTGAGCTGATGGAAGTTGCACGTTCATCTGTTATATCTATGCTTGATTTATGAATGCCCCAAAATACAGATACACTTACAGGAGATGATTAGGATATACTAAACAGCAATAACCACATTTTTGTCTTGGTATAGTTTGCTAGCCCAGCCAGTCTGGGTAAGTGAACCCAGACCATTAACCAAAGATAAGCATGGCCTGTTAACAAAAGCAGAAGTATCTAAAATATACTATAAATGACATCTGCAGGTAATATTTTTGTCATGATTAAAATGAAGCCATGATTATCTTATAGAAAGTACAAACAGGCCTATAAAATATTCGAAAAAAGCTCAGAAATAGAATTGAACTAGTTACTTCTGATACATACGAAATAAGAATTCCCTCTGGAGCTTATTCTTTATTAAGGTAAAAAATTAAAGGATTGTTCCTTAAGAGTTGCACTGAGATTTGCTGACTTTCTTTGTCCAGGCACTACAGTATTCCACTGAAGGATTTAACTGTTCTCCAGACTAAAACAGTTTGTCTTGAAGAAGCAGCTTAAAATGTAGGTAAAAATAAGAAATAAGGCTCTTTTTCAGCATAAAAATTGAATGAAAATCATGTAAAGCATCCCAGATAGTTGGCTGTATAGCCACTGCTTGAACACATCCAACAATGGGGAGTCTAACACCTTCCTGAATAACAGGTCCCATACTGTTAGGAAGTTTTTATTAACATTCAGTTAGAATCTGCCTTCCCCTAACTTAATTCTGAAATAAGAGAGAAAATGTCCTCCCTTAGTCCTGTGTGACATCTTGTCATGTATTTAAAGGGTGCTATCATATCCCATTCACCCCACAGTCTTCTCTCAAGGCCCAACATACCCAGCAACTTCTTCATAGGGCGTTCTAGTTCTCTGATAATCTTTATCGCTCTTCTCTGAACCTGCTTAATTTCTCTGAATCCTACTTACAGTGCGATGCCCAGAACTGGACTCAAACTGAGGTCTAACGAAATCAGAACATAGCTGAGAAATTACTTTCTCTGATTTGGAAATCATAATCTTGTTGATGCAGCCTAAATGCACATTTGTCTTCTTTGCAATCACATCACACTACTGGCTCACATTTACTTTGCAATCAACTACCATTCCAAGATCTTTTTAAGCACTGTGATCAAACCAGATATTCTCCATGACATACCTATACCTGTGCATTTTCAGTTTGTTTCCCAAGACCATGTTGAGTATTTCAATCCAATTCAATGTTAACTCTCTGGGGACAGATTCCTTGGTTCCTATAATTTTTTGAAGTTTATATCTATAAGCTTCTGATGCTAGTGAATGAGATCTTTTTACTGTGACAGAGTGATAAGCAAATGCCATCCATATCGTCCTATTCAGATGTTACATCCATGCATACAATTTAACATGAGGAACAGCCTCTCCCTTCTCCAAGTCCTGCTGATAGTATCACTCCTGAAGAGCTGATCTCCACAAGTACAAGACTGTTTTCTATGGGGAACTTTTGCATATATACCTGACAACTTCCATGTGAGCTGCAACCCCACACTAATATGAGATTAATGAGGTATAAGCAATTCCGTGAAATAATTTCTTTTTCTATTTATCCCATTTTTCTTCATTAAGGAAGTGAGAATACTGTATTTCGGGATTCTGGAACTATATCAAACAGATATATTGTAACTATATATGGGCATCGTAAGTTAGTACCTTCCCAGAATATTGTTTATTTAACATAGCATAATGAAAAATCTGGACTTGCAAACCTTATCTATCCAGTGAATACAGTATTCTGACATTCTTCTCAGGACAGTCAGGGCCACTTGAAAAATATTTAGTTACTTGGAGAAATGATTTTGAGCACTGTTTCTTGGCCATGAGGAAGAGGTTATCATTCCTACAACTAAAGTTTCTTTTATTTACATTTAGAGAGTGAGCTTGCAGGCTTATGTTTGCTTATTGGGAATTATATCACACTGAATTTAGTGGGACTCATTTCTGAGTAAAAAATCCACAGGATTGCGCCATAAAAGAATCTTTCCTTTTTCATGTCCTATAGTTCACTTGTGAGTTGGACCAAAACACTTTCACTGCCCATGCATTTTTGAAAAAAACTTGTTTATTAAATTATTTTTAAGCACCCTCTGTTGCATTTTGTATTTCCAGTTTGGATTTGTCCTAATTTCATTTTGTTTAGACACCTCAGCTTCCTGCATACTAAGCTATCTTTCAGGGTAATGGCTTGACCTCTTAATATTTGTTTTTCATAGCTGGATTGTTCCAACCAATAAAGGCACCTTTGTTTTATGCCATTTTTTCTGCCAGGCAGGTGTACAACAAACAACCACTCTGCTGAAATAAACCCCAGTCATCCAAAGGTCACTTCTGCCATGATTCCTTCAAGAGAACTGTCGTTTTGCCATTGACCAGTGAACCAGTTGCAATAAATTTTCCCCAGAGAAAAGCTCCATTCAGCATAAATACTGTATGCAGTGGGAATGTCAAGCAGTAAAAAATTGGTTAGATATCTTTTATCGACAGCATAGCCATTCTGGAGAGAGCAAAGCTAGACACAGATCAAGAAACCAACAAGAGCTGTTCAAGTGTCAAATTACTTCCTGACACGTTATCATGCTGAGGCCACTACAGGAGCCTAAGAGCATAACCCTTGACCCCAACACTTAAGATCAGTTCTTCAATTTAAGAGCTCTTGATTTCTACCATTTGCTTCTTCAGATCTAGTGCCAATCCAACCCAGCTTCAATGGATGGCTTTAAGTCTCCCTGTCACACGCTGATAGAGAGATGGGTTGAGGTAAATAAAGATTTAGCAGGCACCTAAACAGACGCCATCCTCTTTTGATCTCATTGGTTCATTCACATATTCACAGGCTGAATTTTGCTTCCACTGAGCCTCTGCAACGCCATTAGAGTCATAATCTGGAATAATATTGGAAGCCTGTTACTAAAACAAAGTTTTATTCATAGAGTTAAAATTAACACTCAAAAGTATTTATGCCAATTTAATGCTGCATTCTTTCAAGTACTAGGAATAAGTTTTATGATTGGTTTTATGTTTTTATACATTGCAAGCTGCTTTGGGCAACTCATTTCAGGGAAGAGAAAAAATGGGATGTGCATTTTATTAGTAAAATAGATACTTGATGTGTTTATTGGACTTTTCTGTCCTTGAGGAAGTTAACAGCTATGCATGTCAACCTGCAAACAAACATATCACATGATGTCTTAGTACAACAGGCCTTTATAGGAAGGGACAGGAGAGATCCTATTTTATTTTATTTTTTTCCACTTCTAATATGGTTACTTAGCTCAATCCACAGAAACTCTTACAATTGCCCAGAGACCACTACACACTCATTTGTTTGCAGAAGACAGAAAGTATGACCAATGTTGCATTATGATAAAACAATCAAGAAGTGCAATTGTTCTCAATCTGGTGCCTTTCCGGTATGTTAACTTCCAATTCCCACCACTGGTCATGGTAGATGGATATTATGGGAATTATAATCTGAATGTAAATAAAGGATACCAGGCTGAGGATACTGGAATCAGGAACTGATAGAAGCTGAGTTCCAGATGTTTATGCCACCTCCTGAACGGTCAACACTTCAAAATAATTTTAAAAAGCTCTCTTTATCATATTAAAACTCACACTATATTTATGACAAAAAAATATAAGGAAAAACGAAAGATTAATGATTATGGCAGTAATTCATATTGACACATCAAGATACTTTCCTAACCTTTTTCACTTTGTCACCCAACATCACCCTTTTAGCCATTAATATGCTGCCCTATGATCTAGGATGATGACATGTTTAGTCACCTTTTAAAAAAAGTGAGAGTTCACAAGTCTGGATACACCTATCATCAATCTGAACTCCCTCCTGCTTCACTACAAAGTAATAACAGAACTGCTGGTTTCCTAGAGTCTTCTTGAAAGCTCACCATTCATGATAACAGAAACTAAGTATAATACCCAATTATCAGGGTTCATCTTTCCTGATGAATTAATGTGAATGAGGTTTTACATGGACTTGCAGGATTTAAATTGTAAACAACCAGCTACACAAACAAATACATAACAGTTGTAATTAAGGTGGGAGAGCCCTGCATCCAATTTTTATTCTTTCTAATTGTCTCTGGATGCAGTGAGAAGATTGTATGACTATTTCTGGAAAGATTTATTTTTTAAAAATGTGAATGATAACAAGATCAAAGAAACAAGACAATGAATGTTTGTAAGATGGTCCCATTTGTTAACTTGGTTTTGGGTTCAGTTAAACATACTTCCCTGTGAAACATATTATGCAAATTAATACAAAGGATGTCAGTTTACAAATAAAACCAATCAAAAGGGAATGGAAAATATGAGTATAATAGGCTTAATACATTCTCATTAGCCAACTTGAAACAAATGTGGGCAGTTACATTTCAAAGGGTACTAAGTTTCCAAAACTAAATGACTTGCTTTTGTCAACTACAAATAAAATGTGTAAAAAGATTTTATTAGATTAGTAATATGCATTTTGTGCATTTAGTGATCAAAACAAATTGTTTTATTAGGACATACTTTATGTTTTATTTACAATTTTCTAATCTCAGCAGTTACAGGTATTATTCATAGCAGCTTTAATTGGACTTTTCTACTAACAAACTATTTGTCCTGTGTTTAGTGCAGAAAATGAGAAAATTGAATTTGCTTCAATGTTTTGCCAACACACATCTTTTAGGCTGGCTTCCACTGTGTAACTATTTCAAGTGATACAATTCTGCATGTCTCCTTAGGATGAGCTTCA